TATAAAAGTACAACTTTCAAAACACTTTGGGAAAACATCCAAGTTAAACTCTATATTGCAGATTTTCTAGTGGCGCAGGTGGACAATGAAAGATAAGTAAATATGTAATAGGTATAATCAACATAGATAGAGGGAGAAATAATTTCATAGAAAAGAAAAAATATCAGATTGGTTTCAGGTTTCTCCTCTAGCAGAAGGAAAAAACAGAATGGTCTACTTGGAAAATAGAAAGGTAAGACCCAAGAACTGATCGCCAGCCAAGTTGAAGTTCATGTGGGAGCAAAAGAAAGAGACAGCTTCAAATGTCCATGCACTCAGGAAATAGGCAATATATGTATTTCTCAGGAAAAATGAAAAAAGAAAAACAAAGAAACAACAAAAAAAAATTGTAAGTCCCTTTGTAACCAAATAAGAGCTGAATCCAAATGAAAGTCTGAAGTAGGCGTGTAAAACAACTGATGGCTTTAGATACAGGGTTAAGTCTAAATTATTATAATGTGATATAGAAGAGTAAATTCAACTTTGAAAAATGATTATTGAGCAATAAAGATATACTATGTATATGTATTAGTCCATTTTCATGCTGCTGATAAAGACATAGCCAAGATTAGATAATTTATAAAGAAAAAGTGGTTTAATGGACTCACAGTTCCACGTGGCTGGGGAGGCCTCACAATCATGGAAGAAGGTGAAAGCCACGTCTTACACGGTGGCAGGAAAGAGAGAATGAGAACCAAGCAAAAGGGGTTTCCCCTTATAAAACCATCAGATCTTGTGAGACATATTCACTACCGTGAGAACAGTGTAGGGGAAACTGTCCCCATGATTCAATTATCTCCCACCAGGTCCCTCCCACATCATGTGGGAATTATGGGAGCTACAATATGAGGTTTGGATGGGGACACAGCCAAACCACATCAGTGTAAGATAAATTTTTAAAAATATAACTTAGGCTTCAAATACCAGATTATATAACACAGAGTGAAGAAAAGAAAGGAAAGTAAAAGTAAAAATGCTATGTTTACAAAGAAAGGAGTAAACTACAAATTTATACATTGTTTTGGCAGAGATTCTTAGAAAATGTGAATAATCATAATACAATTAAAAGCAAAATGCCTAACTTCTAAAGCATTGAGGGAGATAAAAATGTATGCAATGGTTCGTATAACAAACTACAATTTAGAAACACACACACACACACACACACACACACACACACAGAGAGAGAGAGAGAGAGAGACAGAGAGAGAGAATACAAGGAGCCACACAGAACAGGTATAAATCTCAAGTCATAAACTGGAGTATTAAAGGAATTTAATTTTCCTTTTCTTTGGCTTAGTTTCTATTCTGATGCCTCAGTTCTTCCTGGACAATGGACAATTTTAATCTCAGATGTTAAGTGTTGCTTCTGCTTGCCCTGGTATTGCAGCAATATTCTGAGAGGTTTATATAATTGTGCAAAGGCAGGCAATCCAGTCCCTGAGACAAACACAGTTACATTATTGCTGAAATCCACACAACTCCAGTCTGCACAACCTCTTCAAGTCTTGTAGCTTTCTTTTTCTTTTTTGAGACAGAGGCTCACTCTGTCGCCCAGGCTGCAGTGCACTGGTGTGATGTCGGCTCACTGCAATCTCCGCCTCATGGGTTCAGCCTTCAGAGTAGCTAGGACTACCCACCACCATGCCCAGCTAATTTTTGTATTTTTAGTAGAGACAGGGTTTCACCATGTTGGCCACGCTGGCCTCGAACTCCTGACCTCAGGTGATCTACTTTGATCCTGGCCTTCCAAAGTGCTGAGGTTACAGGTGTGAGCACTATGCCCAGCCAAGTCTTGTAGCTTTCTAATTCCACACTTCAGATAGGGCATAGGAATTTTTCTGCAAATTTTCTGAGTGCCCATGACCTAAGTTCACAGCCATCAGAGATCCTGTAGCTTTTCTTAGCGGCTCTGCAAGGAAGCACTATAGTACAGTAACCTCTAGTTTGCAGTTTAGCACAATGCTTACTTCAGTGAAAGGTATTTTTATACTAAGTTGTATGTGTAGTAAACCAAAATGCTACACATATAAATGAGCCATCAGAATATTACTGGAGGAAATTTTTTTAAATGAGGAAGACTAAGTCTTGGGTTTGAAAACGTTCCCTCTTTCTCCAGGATATGTGAAGTAAGTACCAGATATTTTGGTCTCGGCCCTCCGAGATCCCACGTGCCTGTCTTCTCTGGATGCTTAAATATCTTTACTAGTTTAGTCTCAAAGTCTATTCCAATTTATCAGAGTTAATTACTAATGTACATATGGGTCTGGGGGGAATTGCATGAAATATAAGCCAATATTAACAGAAGTTATTATTTTAGTATACTGCCTAACACCACTGAACATACCTCATTGCAGTTCTTCATCTGCCTCCAATTATACTCCCACAGCTGTGGGTAAATAGGCATTACTTAAGTGGGAGTTAAAAAAAAAAAAGTGGACCCTTTTCACAAGATGGCGCTGAAAGCGAAGAAGGAAGCTCCTGCCCCGCCTAAAGCCGAAGCCAAAGCGAAGGCTTTAACGGCCAAGAAGGCAGTGTTGAAAGGTGTCCACAGCCATAAAAAAAAGAAGATCCGCACGTCACCCACCTTCCGGCGGCCCAAGACACTGCGACTCCGGAGGCAGCCCAAATATCCTCGGAAGAGCGCCCCCGGGAGAAACAAACTGGACCACTATGCTATTAGCAAGTTTCCGCTGACCACTGAGTCTGCCATGAAGAAGATAGAAGACAACAACACACTTGTGTTCATTGTGGATGTTAAAGCCAACAAGCACCAGATCAAACAGGCTGTGAAGAAGCTCTATGACATTGATGTGGCCAAGGTCAACACCCTGATTCGGCCTGATGGAGAGAAGAAGGCATATGTTCGACTGGCTCCTGATTACGATGCTTTGGATGTTGCCAACAAAATTGGGATCATCTAAATGGAGTCCAGCTGGCTAATTCTAAATATATGTATATCTTTTCACCATTAAAAAAAAAAAAAAAGAAAAAGAAATGCTGTTTTATCTCTTAGTATATTGAATAGTTACAGAACTGAAAATATGTCTTTTGTGCCATCCTCCTTGAATTTTCACCAGTTGCAAGCTTTTTCCCTCCTCCAAATTCCTACTGGGCTTTTGTCCTCTTGATAGTTTCAATATATATATATATATATATATATATTTTACACATTTTATCTCCTCAACTTGTTGAGAGAAAATTGAGAACCGGCAAGTAACTAAATCCTTGGAAAAAAGACAAGGCATGAGATAGTATCCCCAAACAAATCCTACTCTTTGTCTTCTACTTACTTAAGGTACTATCAGGGAGGTACACAAAGAAGTGCCAGCCTTGGAAGTATCACATATCCATATACAGACTTACAGCATAAATCATATCTAGTCATCCCCACTCACTCTGCAAACTGATTAAATTCTTCCAAATCATCATTTAATCAAGTGACTTTCCTGTTCAAGAGTGTAATGGCTTAAGTTGCTCATTTTATAATAAACTGGAATTAAATATGGCACTTCTAATAATGGCTTCTTCCAATCAGTGCAAACTGGGCTCCCACTTACTTCCTATCATACACATCTCCGTACCCTAAAAGCTTTATCCTTCCTGCTCGGCGCGTTGGCACCTTCTGTTCCTCCCACTAGAATATTCCCTGAACTTAATCAGATCTTACCTATGACCACTGCAGAACTACAGGCACGTGACTATTCCATCCAAACCCCGGCGCTCAGAGACTTGCCCAAACTCTATCACAGCTTTAGCAGCATAAGGTCCTGTGCCCTGGACGACTGCTTCAGAAAACTGAACTACGTGATATAACCAGCACACAACTGATGATAGGTCTCCGACATTCCTTTCTTAGAACATTTACTAAAGGGCTTGCAATTGTAAATGCTTATTTCTTGCCACTCAGAAGTTCTCTCTCAAGGACCTGAGAGCCATTCCCTTGAAATGTAATCAAGGATAATTCCTCCGTAGGACGATACAATCCTAACTTAGTTAACTGTTAAACACACACATAAATTACACGAACAGCTCTGTACGTTTTCACTTTCTCTACTGAGCTCTCGCACATCCCCTTTCTCCTTTTCAAATGCCCAGATCACCTCTGCACAAATGGAAATAGAGCTCAGCTCTTTCCTGTCAGTAGTTAACTGAATAAAATGTTTTCACCGTTTCCTGTCAGTAGTTAACTGAATAACATGTTTTCACCGCTTTAACGTTCAGCTGTGCTTATCTTTGACATCGACTACCTACGGTCTACCTTTAGTCCCACGACTCTGACAAAACGTCTCAATATTGGTGTAAAATGACCTCCCCTTTCTGGGGGTCTTCCAAAGCACTTCCTGTCTGCGGCAATCAAAATGTATTGGCACAAAATTTTAAGCTTACTGAGCTTTTTTTTTCTTTTTCTTTCTTTCTTTTTTTTTTTTTTTTAAATAAAAATGGGGGTTTCACCACTTTGGCCAGGCTGGTCTTGAACTCCTGGCCTCAAGTGATCCGCCCCCCTCGGCTTCCCAAAGTGCTGGAATTATAGGCGTGAGCCACCGCACGCGGCCGCTTACTGGGCTTTAAAATCACCGTGTCAAATCCACACATTCAGGACACATACTGGTTTTTCGGGTTAAAAAAAAAAAATCAACTAGCTAAATACCCATTCCCCTCAGTAACTCAGATGAGATCTCTAAAAAGCGTCGGACTTCGGTACCTTTCGGTCCTCTCCCCTCTCGCTGTTTGCTTACATAGGCTTCCTTGCCTTTCCTTTTCCTCACGTTTATTGGAGTGAAAACAAATAGGGTTCGGCGGCCTCCTTTCCAAGCCCAAAGGCAGTAAGGGAAAAGCGAAAACGCGAAGCAAGTACTACAGGATTCGGCCAAACCGGGCTCACCAGCGTCCCTAGAAGGAGGGACGTGGCTGCAGGAAGGCGCCTCGTGGCGGGGGCGGGATTTCCGGGGTCACGAGCCCCTGCAGGGAAATGGGATAAAGTCCCCCCAGAGAGGAAAGAGGAGCGTGGGATAGTAAACGGGCGACGCGGAGAAGAGGAAGGCACACACCGGAACGGAGCACAGGCGCGGAGGAGGTTCCGGAGGGGAGCGGAAATAAAGGCACTCAAAGCTGAAAAGCCTGTGTAGGGGAGCGGAAAAGGAAGTCACCGCCCAGGCCTGCGGGGCTGTGTGGTCGAAAGAGTTGGGCTTAGGACTTCAGTTAAGTGTTGTCAGTGGGAAAATTCTGCAATATCGCCGTGGAGTGGACTTTAGCGCTCGCTTCTCCAAACGTATCCCAGACGGCGAGCTCCGCGGGCTCCGCGGCTCGTCCGGTACAAGCGCCGCGCAGGCCCGCCCTCTGCCGGACGTGGGGACGCGGTGCCTAGCGCCGCGGGCCGACGAGGGGAAGGAGGGCGTGGGGAAGAGATGAACAGGCCTTGCCGGAGCAGGCTGAGAGATCGCGTCCTTACACTTTCAAAAGCATAAGGAGGCTTGCTTTCTACACACTGATTTAATTTCGGAATACTTTCAAGGCTCTGCTAAGTTAGGTAATGTTCTCTGTGACCTCTGTAATTGACTTTTATGTATAAAATTGTCTTGCTTAACTAAAACTTATTTGTATCGTGCAGCCAACTCTTCAAGAACGAAAAATGAGCAATTCCATTCTGGTAGAGGTTCTTTCATTGAAGAATTTTTGAGTTGCAGTAATCCTTTTAATGCTGCACACATGTACAGGGATTACACATGTAGGGGATTAAAACCACAGTTAAGTTATAGGTTGAAGGGGCTGTTAAGGACTTCAGGCAACGTAAATCAACACTCCCTTGGTTCTTTTCTCTGTTCCACATCTGGGAGTCCCCTGTATCTGGGAGCTGTGGCTCTGGGTGCTAGTGGTATAGAGAGGAACCGGACATGCATAGTAAAAACAAAGGACCCCTTAGAAGAACTAGCATTCTCTTGGAAAAGCCAAGCTTGCGATGAGATGTCTGTTTGTGAAATTTACGAGAGGAGGGAGCAGCCTCGTAATAAAACGGGTGATCCTTTCTTGACTTCTCATTGGGTTCTGGTCTGAATGGTGACTGGGACCATTGCAATGATTAACATTCCGGGAAGGGAAGCCAGCCAGTGAAGAGGCTTGGTGTTGAAACCGGGTGAGTTGGGAGAATAATAAACGGTAGTTGCAGGGTTGATTTGTGGCGAGATTCTTAAACCCCTGCATGGAATTTAGCGTTAAGAAAATTGTCATTAGGCACTGCAAATGCCCTCTTGCAATTAAGTCTAATGGGAAGAACTGGTTAAAGAACTAATTACAGCAAAACGTGAGTGAGAATGGTGATGAAAGATATAAATGTGAGAGTAGACAGTAAGGGGACTTTATGTAGTCTAGATGTTAGAGGAGATGATTGGAAGTTACTCTGAGGAAGACAAAAATGTAACAGATCATATATGCAAAAGCTTGAAATGGCGAGAAAATCAGAAAGATTAGAGGAACTGAAAGTTGTGCATTTTGGCTGTGTGAGGGCGAGAGTTGTGTGGGTAACATGTAATGAACCTTGAAAGGTAGTTTATGACAGCCTAAAACCGAATCAGAACTTTTAAAAACAGGTGATATATATATAGACAGTCTGAAATCAGATGCTTCTGATTTTTATTACATGCTGAAGAGGAGTAGAGATTCCTCAGCTAGGAGTGATGGATGGAGAAGTTGTGGCTCTTTGGCAAGCTGATTAGAGGCCATTGAAAGAGAATTTATTTGGCCGACTATGATACCCTCAGTTGTAGCCACATATCCTGGGTTTGCTTTCTTGAAAACCCAACAGTGAAATCTTTCAATCTTCCTTTATTTATTTTCTTTCTTTTATTTGATCTGGAGTGTCTCACCCTGTTACCTTGGCTGGAGTGCAGTGGCAAGATCTCGGCTCACTGCAACCTCTGTCTTCTGGGTTCAAGTGGTTCTCCTGCCTCAGTCTCCTGAGTAGCTGGGATTACAGGTGCCTGCCACTATGTCCAGCTAATTTTTGTATTTTTAGTAGAGACAGGGTTTCGTCCTGTTGGCCAGGCTGGTCTCGAACTCCGGATCTTAGGTGATCCACCCACCTCGGTCTTCAGAGTGCTGAGATTACAGGTGCAAGCCACTGCTCCTGGACTGAAATAGTTATTTTTTTAATTATTATTTTGTAAACATAGGTCTTATCTTTATTTTAGAAATTGATGAGTAGCTACAGTAATACCTATATGGTAATAACCACATGTGTGTTATTTAGTTCCACAAAAATTTAATGTACAAGAAGTAGTCCCTGTCCTGATTATCCTTAAACTACTACAACTTATCTCATATGTACCTTTCTGTTATGTTTTCTGGTTGTGCATGAATTATTAAGAAGTATCATTACCTTTAATAAGGACTCTTGCTTTGCTGCCAGAATTGTCAATAAAGAGATTTCAGATATCTCTAGTCTTTAATTATCATCGATAGCTACTGAGTCAATATTCGTGTTCTTTCTTTACATTTCTGTTTGAAGAAGTAGAGTTCTTAAGAAACTAACTTTGCAACTAGCAGTTTAGGAAATGAGTACCTGGATAGGACATCTGTCAATATTTGGAATGATATTCTTCAATTAAAAAAAAAAAGTTTCCTGAAAAGTAAATGTAGCACACATAGATAGAGAGTAAAATGTACAAGATGAGTTTAAAGAACAATGAAATAAATACCTGTGGATGTGAAGCAGGAGCGGCAAAGAGAAACAGACCTCTCGGACACTGAACTGGGAAGTAAGAGGTGATGTATTTCAGCAGGGAATAAGGTGACATGGTAAACAGCCAAGCTTGTCTAACAAAGAGAAGCTCTGCCTTTATATAGGCTTACAACTCTAGATATTACATGTGAAAGGGTCTTGGGTTTGCAGTTTTAGAAATTACAGGTGAAAGGGCCTTGGTTGATGGAGTAGGAGTGGAGTGGGGTTTGATCTTGTCTGGAACGATTCCCCTGTACTATGCCTGCTTCTATAGGAAGGCAAATGAGGCCAGCCTTTTCTTCTATTGAAATGCAGTATGGAAGTCAAGGGGGAGGTGATGATGTTAGATGCTTGGGTCTCTTTCTTCAGATGCATTATTTGGTTAAGAAATAGAACATACCTGTATTCTGAAACTTTTTCAGCACCTGTTAAGTGACTCAACTGATATTTTTCTTCATTCTTCACATCTGTGTTTATTTTCTTTCTCGCAAAATGTAACATAAATTTCAACTCAGTGAACAAAAGTAATTTGTTACAGAAGTAATAGATATCTGTGAAACACTAGTATTGTACTGTTTTATAATAAAAATTCTGGTTACACATATATATTTGATAAATCTGGTTTCATATATGTGTGTGGGAGTATACATTTTGTATTTATTCCCTAGCAGAGCTGGTATGTTGCTTGATTTTGGTTGTACCTCTGCTTAGAATTTTAAAAATTAGAATGAAGGGAAAAGGTAGCAGGAGCGGCCATGAGAAACAGAGCTCCCGAACACCAAATGGGGAAGGAAAGGTTTTAAATTATTATTATTATTAATATTATGACCGGGAGCCAGGCGATGGCTCCAAATTACCTAGCTCGTCTAACAAAGGAATGTTCTGCCTTTAAATAGGTTTATACTTTAGATATTACATGTGGAAAAATCTTCGGTTTACAGCCTTAGAAATTACATGTGAAGATTTACAGGTTTAGGACTCACATGTGAAAAGGTTTTGGGTTTACCGCTTTAGAAATCACATATGAAAAGGTTTCTGGTTTACAGCTTTAGGATTCACATGTGAAAAGGTCTCGGGTTTGATCTTGTTTTAAGTAAAAACAGTGCCTTCCAGAGAGTTTCGCCAAGACCAAGACTGCCACCTACAGGAAGGTGAATCAGGAGGCGCCAGTCGGTCAGCCTTTTCTTCTATTGAAATACGGTGTGGCAGTGAACGGGGAAGTTGATCCCAGATGCCTGGGTCTCTTTCCTCATGATAATGCATCATAATTCAATGCACTGATTTACTGTTATTGAATCCATTTATACCTAAAGAAAATCCTTAGACTATGTGATCAGAGTTTACTGGTGGAAAAAAAAAGATCCTTTTATGAAGTTAAGATTATATGTTAAATTTAATGGCACTCTCTAGCAGAGCTCAATAAAAGGAGAGACTTTGCTCTGTTTTCATATTTTGTGCATATTTTGTTTCTCTGACAAAACCAAGAACTTTTAAAGATGTTTTATTTCTCTCTGAAATAGCTAACAATGGCATGATCATTAATAGGAACTCAATATAAATAGCCATTGAATTGCTACAGAATTACCTCTTACCAAATGCTCTTAACATATGCATATGTGTCTATGGCCATTTCCTGGCCATAAAAATCTACATATAAGTACAAATGTAATGGCCCATATGCCAAGAAACCAACATCTCTTTTTATTTCTGAGAATGCAGCTAAATGTCTAGTTAAAATGTACTTTAAATAATTCAAAAAAGAATACCATCCTCTTGAAATATTTGTCTTAATTGCTAATCCAGTTATTATGTTTTTAAAATTTGTCTTTAAAAAAGCAAAGAGTTCCTCCTCCCCTCCTCCTCTTCCTTTTCCTTAGGGGGGGGAAAAAAAAGCAAAGAAAGCTTCAGAACTCATTTTGAATTATATAGTTTGGTATATTTTTCTATTTTTCTCACAGACTTTGACCAGTGAACTTGGTTCTAATTCTAAGGGTAGTAAAAGGGGAGGTGAAACAGACAGAATAGTGGTTGAGTATAGAATGATTATGATTATGATTGGAGGTTACAAACAAACTTAATAAATATATCCTGTCATGAGAATATAGGTATTGATGATGAAAAGAGTCAAACTCTGTAAAATATTTAAGAGATTTATTCTGAGCCAAAAATGAGTGCCTATGGCCTGTGACACAGCCCTCAGGTCCTGAGAACATGTGCCCAAAGTGGTTGGGGTACAATTTGGTTTTACGTATTTTAGGACGGCATGAAACATCAATCAAATATATTTAAGAAATACGTTGGTTTGGTTCAGAAAGGTGGGACAACTTAAAGTGGGGGTGCTTCCAGGCTATAGGTAAATTTTTACATTTTCTGGTTGACAATTAGTTGAGTTTGTCTGAAGACCTGGGATCCATAAAAAGGAATGTTCAGATTAAAGATGAAGGATTGTGGAGACCAAGTTTTTTTGTGCAGAGGACTCTCAGCAGACTTCAGAGAGAGAGCAGGTTGTAAACTATGTCTTATCAGACCTAAAAGGGTACCTGGCTCTTAGTTGATTATCTCCTGGATCTGGAAAGAAAGGAAGGAAAACAAAGAGGGAAGGGGATGCTCTATAGAATGTGGATTTTTCGCACAGGAGAGTTTACAGGACAATTTCAAATTATGGCAAGGAAATATATTTTGGGATTAAATTTTTTTTTTTGGCTCCTAATGTTATGCCAAGGTCAGATTGAAAAGTAAATCACGATATATAGGGTCAAATAAAACCCATCTGATGAGAATTTATGATTTGTAGGGCATGACTTCCTAGACCC